TTCTTTATCAGCGACTCAAACCGCCTCATGTTCGTCGGTTTTTACTGACCTGCCTGAAAAGATTTCGACGAGTGAGTTTTTATTGATGTGATCATCGATACTCTGTCACTCCTGTATTGATCAGTGGACATGGGTCGGTCTGTGGTTCTCGGAGCGCTGCTGGTGCTGCTGGTGGCTAACGTTAGCTTCTGTCAGGCCGAGACTGTGGAGAAGTACTTCAGGGTTGGTGGCACACTCCAGCTCAGCCCTGAGCCGGTCTATGGACAGATCACCAGCATCGTGTGGAAATACGGCAAGAACCTGCTGGCTGAGTGGGTGAAAGACCAGATTCCTCCGACATATTACAGCAAGTTTAGAGGCCGAACCACTCTGAACACTGACACAGGAGTGTTGGAGATCAGGGACATGACTGCGGCGGACAGTGGATGGTATTCAGTGGAGATCAACAACCGGTTCCAGGGTGAGGTTCATAAGACTGCAATCGAGGATGTGCCCCGACCTGAGGTGACTCTGCAGCCGCTGGCGTGTGATCGACCATCGCTATGTGGACTGAAATGTTATGGAGACATTACAAATGCCGGGCCTGTCACCTACTCCTGGAAGAAGGACGATGGAGAGTGGGAAAGGGGACAAGACAAAAGGGATCTCAGCAGTCTGGAAATGGACAGCGTGAAAACCTTCACCTGCAGGATGGAAAACTCAGTGAGCCAGAAGGAGAGCTTACCCTTCAAAAATCGATTCTACCAGGAGAAAACGCCAGAACCAGAACCAGAACCAGCAGCGGCTTTTTTCTACAGATTCAAAGAATCAGTCAAGACTGGGATTGATGTTATTTTTGCAGCAATGTTCCCAACAGCCCCTGAACAATGAAAACAGCCTGCCTGTGGGTATTATAGATTGCTACTGCTGCAGTAGTCATTCTTCCTAAAACAAAAGAAAATGTTTTTTATTTGAGGGTCTGCCTTTATTAACATAAGAGCCCACACCCTTTGTACTGTCAGGAAAGCTATGGGAGAGTCAATGTTCGAACTTTAACAGAAACGTTCCTCGATGTGTTAAGGTGCTTCTTATGGGCTAAGATCATGGGCGTGTCCTCAACTCATCGAGCAGGAAAACAACCCTGAAATCCTCCCTGTTTTAATTCACAGATTGGCAGAATACGAAGAAGTAATGATATCTTTACACTGAAGTAAAAAAGCCATCAGTGCCATAGCTTTGAAGTACAGTTACAAGTGATGTATCTGTAAAAGTTCTTAAGGTGGAAATCTGTCCTGCTCATTCTTATTTTCTGAATCTTTTAGGGTGGCTTTGCATGATTCACAGGTTAATAATAATCAGAAAATCTTATGTACGCAAACACACGTTGCAACTTCTTATCTGGTGCGCGTCTTTTATTTTGACAACGAATGCGCACCTGCGGACCACTTATGTGCACCCCTGATAATAATCCTGTATTTCATAGCAGCCCTTCACTTCATCCTCTGTCTGAAACAAACAGACTTGACTCCTGTCCAAAACACACACTGTCTATGTGTGTATATAATCTCAAAAACGGCAGAATAGGTCCACAAATATGTTGATGTGCATAGTTTAAACATGCATCATGTACTCGTGTAATGCTTCAGTGCTGACTTAATGAGACACGACTCTACACTCTGTGCTGTCCTTTTTACACTTTTTAAAAGTATTTTTTAAGCACTGCACAGGTGACTTTTCTTTTTTCTTCTGACTCTTCTGTTATGTATGAACCAAGAATTATTGTGTGCTATGCAAGCTATCGCCAGTAGGGGGCACCACGCCCAGTTATGTGTGTGTGTTACTTCTGTGTGATCCCAATAAAAGAAGAAGTCAACTTGTAAACAAACTATTGTGTGTGCAGTCTGACTCGGCATAAGCTCTAATAGTGTACTGACACTACAGTGGAAATATAACATCTTCCATCTTTCATATTAACTTCTTCACAGTTTGATTATTTATTGGAAACTGTGGTGCCTTTCAAAATAAAACTGGCAGTGCTACACAGACTCGTGGTGTCTTATTTTACCTCCTAAAATCCGAGCGCGAAAAAATGGACGCCCGGCTCAAGCGAAGCCGGAAATGGGCGGGGGATTATTAGCTTGCGCAGATCCTTCCGCTCAGGAACGCGCACAGCTGCCCGTCTGTCTCACCTGTGATGGATTTAGAAGAAGCTTTTAAAGCACCTTGAGCCAACTGTTGTGATTTAGAGCTTGTAAATGAAATTGAATTGGAAAAAATAGAGAACTACAGCTGTCAGCAGATCAAAATTTCTTTATGTATTCTTTTTATTTCTCAGGGACCGTGCACAGAAACATAGATCTTGTGAGCGAGCAGGCATCTTTTCTCCATCTGCAGTCCTGGGAAGTTAAAATGGCCTATACTCTATACACAAGTCCTAAAATCCTCAATGTTTTTGGAACTAATTTGTCTCAAATGTACTGAGTCTTTAAGTTTGCATCATTGGGGGCGTGGCCTCTTTGACAGGAATATTTAAGCCTGTAAGTACACAAGCAGTGTCTCAAATAATGAAATGCTGGGTAAAGTCAATGAAAAACACAAAACAAAGTCAAATAAAATAACTTATAAGTACAATAACAATAAAATATTCTTTCTTTTTCCCCACAGTGAAGGTGTTCCTGCTTCAGCCCAAAAAAATGAAAGACGACTTACACCAAAAGTGCGTGTCACCTTCCTAAAGACAAAATAATATAAGATGTTGGGGATTCATTTCTTTAAAGCACGTAGAAACTTTTGGTTAAACACGATAAACTTCAAACAAATAGCTTCAATTAGATTTTTAGGGTCTAGAATTACTTAACTTTCAACTCAGGCTCCATGACTGTGGTGCTAAAGTCATATTCTGGGGTCTGATCATTCTCAGTGAAATTAACAAAGAAAAGATATAATTAATGCCATCTGCTGTTTCCACTGCAGACGATTCAATTCAATTCAATTTTACTTGTGTAAAGCACAAATGTGACCACAAGAGGGCACCACCTGCCCGCTTTTGTGACTCAAATAAAAACACAAAGAAGTTTATTTTGAGAGTTCACAATCATTCATGTTTGGGACATTCACAGTTAGTATGTGTACCTGCACATACCTGTGGTGCATTCAGGGAACAACCCTGAATGCATGACCCTGAATGCACCACAAAGACAGACGGCAGAAAGCTCAGCCACTTTTTTCACATATGTACAGATACGTCTGCCCAACACTGTGCCTTTCACTGGAGATACAAGAAATCCTTCAGTTCGACCAGAAACAACCCAAATCTGGAAACCAGGCCTTCAATGAGACGCCCATAATCGGGATCAATTAACCCGATCAATTAGAATCATGATATGTTTTGTTCCCAAGGAAATAATTTATCTGAGGATTTGAATGATATGAAGCTGATTTGGCCCCATGGAGGTCCAACGACTTTTCTGATAAAACTTCATGAGTACTTTACCTGATATTCTGAATAGGAACCGAAATTTCACCTGTTCAGGTGAAATCCACTCTCGGAGGATAATTTTTGTATTTCTGTTCCTGCTGAATGCTGTAAATCACATAGCAAGTAAATCAGGTCAAAGGTCACTGGGTGGAACCTACCTTTTGAAACAAGTGACCTAGGAGGCTCATCTCATCCCATATATAACCTACCACAGTCTCCTCTATGGAACTGTTATATAAGGGGTGCTCAAAGTCCAAATTTACCTAATAGGAGCCAAAATTGTAAACACTCATATCTCTCAAACACAATACACAGATGTTTAGGACTTAAAGTCAGAGCAGTGCCGTCGCATTCTGTTGATAGCATGATTTTGTTATTTTGGAAGAATTTAAAAACAGGAATTTATGAAACAAAGGTGCATGATCTGTTGGAGAATCAGCCAGTCCCACCTTCTGCTGACCTGCTTCTCTGGAGCTGTCAGATCCACATAAATCAGTGAATGTGTGTGAGAATTTATTTTGCCTGCGGGCGAAGACGTTTTGTCCCGTTCATCAGTTCCTCAAAATGCCGCTCACATTTTTGAGTGAGCTTCAAAGAGCCTTTTTCTGAGGTCGCGTTTAAGTGTGTCAGACCGTGTACCTGCACATACCTGAACTTTCTGCTCCTCCTCCTCCTGTGTTGTTTGTACATATTTAATTCTTTGTGGTTGCCACTATACACCTCTTCTTGTTGAACGTGCGCATGTGTGTGTGTTGGCACGCACATTGCCGTGAGGTGAAGGCAGAGTCGTCTCTGACGCAAGCAGGCTGATCGGGCTGGCCCGCCGCCCGTCTCCTCCCCACCTGTAATTACGCCCGGTGGCAGATCTAGCGGCGGTTCGACGGTGAGGTGAAGAGTTGAAACTCTAATCGCTTCGTTTTGGTTCCACTGTTGAGGGGCGGAGAGGCATGTTGCCTGTGCGTGCGTGTGGAGTTATAATCTGTGAGATATCGATGCACAAAAAGCAATTTTCTGCTGGTTCGGTCGACGTTAAAGAAAAAGGCTCCGTTTCGTCTCACAGGTCAGCTTGTGCGTGCTCTTTAATCACAGGCCTGTATGTGTGAGTGCATGTCTGAAGCGTAGATGCTGGATTGTAGTTGAACTTGCTTGAACCCGCAGACCGTGCGGCGAACTCGTCTGAAGATGAGCTCCTCGCTAACATAAACAAAGCGCTGCAGCTAGCAGGGCGCGGCTCGCATGTGAGCGTGTATGGCTAATTAAAAAGAAGCAGAAGAGAAACTGGATTCAAAGTCTGTGTAAACTACACACAGCCTCCTGGAACACTGTGAAAATAATCATCTGTTTAGCACCTCCAATACTGTTTTCATTTATTTAGCCTCCCCGGTGCTTCTGATGATTTGACCTTTCACCCAGATTGACTTCCTCTCTTTGAAAAAAGACAAAAACAGCTTCTGAAATGTGTTGCTGTGGACACTAATCCACCACTCTAGGTATTTTGGCAACTTCTAAATTACTTCTAGCTAAATTAAAGTTAGGAAAGAGTATTTAAAGCAACAATCCGGTCTTTAAGTCTGACGTCATTCGCTGTTTGCGGGTCCAAACTCCATTTCAGGTCCCAAAGTCAAACGAACACTGCAGCATCACTGAGTTACAAACTTCTTTCATCTATAATAAAATGATCAGTGTTGCTGCTTTACCAGGTGTAACAATTAAGTTTAACATCCAGGCATCTATGAAAACAGGATTTATGAAGTTTAACGGAGTTAGAAGTTAGCAGGTTAAAAACATGTTTAAAACACAACAGCCTAATAAACACAGAGCATTTTGGACACGGAAGCAGGGTTCATACGTCCTCCCTTAAAGATGGGATAGCCCCTACAAGCTAATGATTTGCATGTCTTAATCAAGCTGAAGGTCTGTGCGACCTCACTGAGAAGCTTTTTATAGATCAGCTGCCTGGTTTGCAATAAACAGCAGCGCAGACAGCGAATGTGATGATCAAAATTCACAAGATCTTGTATTAAGAATTACTTTTTTGTCTTATTCACTGCACCAATGTTTCATGTTTTTATATTTTTAATGGTCTGTATCACCTGTTTTTTAATTCCTTTGATTGAAATCGTAGTGCTAAATTGTGAAATAATGTGTCAAAAACCCATTGTAATATGACCGTGCACAGAGCCTGCAGCAGAAAGCTTTCGATAAGAAATACAGTTGATAACCACTGTTCCTTATCTCTGAGTGGGGTTGTAGGTTTAGGTGAGCCAGACACAAGCATAGCCTGGTTATGTTAAACCTGCTTTGTAGTATAAAATATATATGTGGTTAGCAGACTGCATCCATAAACCGCGTCCCCGCAATGTGAGTGTTTAGCGAGACGTGTGTCCCCATGATGTTAGGAATACAAGTACACGCGTGTCCTCCACAAGCTTCTCAGCAGCTACAGACCACCTGTGTGTTTGTGTGTTTTCCTGGTGACCCTGCAGTGTGTTTGCTGTCAAACAGCAGGATTTATGACTCTCTCTCTCACTC